CTATACAATTTTCCTCTTTAAATTTATGGGTAACTGAAACCAATCTTGTCTGATTTCCGCTGAGGCATGCAGGAAAAGCCTAGCCTGGTCACCAGTCAAATGCATACACATACAAACAACAATCCACTTTCATTCTGGGTTCGTAAGGAGTATTCTTTTAACCTGCCATATGTGTTTTTGGAGGAATTATAAAAATAATACAACCACGGGTTCACACCACGCCTTTCAAGGGACCCAAGGATAGCAGAGTGGGCGGGCTATTTAGTGTACATTTAGACGAACAAGGAGAACCTGAAGAACACTCACGCAACTGCAGTGAGAACATGGCAAACTCCACCCAGAGAGGTTTCAGTTGGAGATTCAAATCCAGGTCTTCTGACAGTGGTGCAACTAGGCAAACCACACACACACGCACGCACGCACGCACGCACACGCACACACAAAAAAATCCAAAAAAACTGTTTTTGCATTTCCTGACTTGAAGCAGCTGTAGGTTTCTTTTCTCTGATGTGCAAATGATTTATACGTATCTGCGTGTGTTTTTGTAGTCATCTTTCCAGAACATTTAACAAAAGATAAATTACAACCAAACAGTATTGACAAACACCTCTTCAATGATCAATTCAAACAATTTGGATGAATGCTGGATTCATTGTGAATCTTCAATTTTCATCATGACAAGATATTGACAGTTTATCGATATAAATTTGTTGGAACCATTTGGGGAAGGCCCATTCTCTTTGACTCTGCCCCTGCGCCAAAAGCAACATCCATCACATTATGCTTGGGGAAGGTTGTTGTCGAAGAGCAAGAGACGACTCACCTTGACCCCTCAAACAACTTTGGGACAAACGTCAACACATATTTTGAGTCACACGCTTTCTCAAGCCCAATATCAGTCACCTCTGACCTCACAAAAGCCATTATGGAGAGACCGCTATGACACATTAGCTTCTCTTTTGAATTATATTCAATGTCAAGGCCAGATTTCTATACACTACAATCGACTGAAGGAAAAGAAAAAGCAACCGAACCCAAGTTAGGACAATATGCATTATTTTGCTTCAGGACCAATATTTGATGTTTTCTTTTTTTTTTGTGTGTGTGTTAAGATTATACATGGATCACCTCATGTTATGTGGTTATAGGTATCACAGAACAAAGAGGACAACATCCATCGGTCCAAGTTCTGGACCGCTTATCCCATTCACGGTCGCAGACAGCTGGAATCAAATGCATCTGACTTTGGGCAACAGGCAGACTGCAGATTTGACTTGATGTTCGAACATGTTTGCAAAATTTGGAACATATATCGATGTGCCACAGGGTATTGACTTGCCCATGTATATAGTATACCCGTGGTGGCATGAAGGGAAATAATGCCAAACCAAAACACACACTGCAGACAAAATAAAACCAGAAAAATTATGTATAACAACTGTTTACTTTTTTAAATTTTTGAAAATATTGGTATAATGTAGGCTACAAGTCATAACCTCATGACATTATAAGAAAACGCTATTTTTGTCAACATTTAGCCTATAGTGCGTTCCAACGTACTTGCAAATACGTTCAAATATAATTGACAGTAAAAAATGTTTACTGCACGTTGGTTAGTTTCACTCTTCCGAAACAGCCAAAAACCATTTCCACATATTGTCAATGAGTGGGAATCGATCACAGTGGCTGCATGACAGTCAGTCGTGTGCAACCCTACACAATCAACAATGCGGTGGAAACCATCTGGGTAAAACCAACAACTCCAAATATGAGCTTTTCAAATACTGACAAAAAAGATGATTGAAAGGATTTCTGAGGGAAAATGACAAGATATGTGCTGAGAGTTTGGAAAGATAAAAGGTCATTCTCCTGAAGCATACAAGTCATGATTACAAATGGCTAAAGAATCAGAATGGGGAAGCATATTTCTGCTTGGAAATTATTTCAATCTACAAGTTATGACAACCAAACAAAAAACAAAACTTTTGGTCAAGAAAAACAACGACGCATTAATGATAGTGCCTACCTCTAAAGGGTCAAAAGAATCAGGAAGCTCATCAATAAAGTCACTTGGACTTTTCCTCAGAGTCTGGTCAGCAGGCAGCGTATTGTCATTGTAGGACGACACAAACTTAAAGTCACTGGTTCTGGAGCCAGTTGTCAAGTAGGCGTCATAGTTGTAGGTGCTGCGTAAAGTTCCTGTGCCGTCAACATCTGCGTAATTAGGAGGCAGATATGCGCCGGGGATGGCGACTGCTCCATCAAACAACAGTCTGGGCTTTCTCCTGCGACAAAACCTCACACCCAGGACGATGATGATGAAGGTCAGGAAGAAGGTGGACACGGACACCAGCGCGATGATCAGGTAAGAGGTCAGCTTGGAATTCTTGTCGTCATAAGAAATGTCCTTCAGTTCCGGCACCTCGGCCAAGTTATCCGAAATAAGTAAATACATGGAGCAGGTGGCAGAGAGAGGGGGCTGTCCGTTATCTTTCACGGCCACAATCAGGTTCTGTTTCATGCTGTCAGACTCCGAAATGTCCCGCTGGGTCCTGATCTCGCCACTGTGGAGACCAATGGTGAAAAGTCCCAGGTCTGTGGACTTGACAATATGATAGGACAGCCAGGCGTTCTGTCCCGAGTCGGCATCCACCGCGATCACTTTGGACACCACAGAGCCTCCATGTGCAGCTTTGGGGCCGTTCACAGACACAAAGGAGGACACCGGGGCACCATTCACTTCAGAAGGTAAAAGGGAATAAATCACGGTGCCATTCTGTCTCCAGTCGGGGTCTCGAGCATTAACAGAACATAAAGTGGAGCCAGCTTTGTTATTTTCACTCACATATGCGCTGTAGGACTGTTCCTCAAAAACAGGCGGGTTGTCGTTTATGTCTGCAACAGACAAGTGAACACTTTTCGAGGAGGACAGAGGAGGTGAGCCCTCGTCAGTGGCACTGATTGTAATGTTGTACTCAGACACAAGTTCGCGGTCAAGTTGTCCAGTGGTCACTAAAGAATAATAGTTCTTAATAGAAGGAACTAATTTAAAGGGTACATTTTGTGGAATGGAGCAACGGACCTGTCCGTTCTGCTCAGAGTCTCTGTCCTGTACATTAACGAGTCCCACCTCTGTACCAGGTGACACATTTTCTGCCATTGAGTTTGACAATGATTTTAGTTGTATGACGGGGTAATTATCATTTGTGTCAATCACATCAATAATTAAAGAAGAATACGAAATTAATCCTAGGCCATCTGCAGCACTTATTTGCATTTCATGTGATGTTACTTTTTCATAATCAACAACACCAGTCACTCTCACTTCTCCAGTTTTGGGATGTAATGAAAATATATTAATATTGTCATCAGATGCATGGTCAAATGCATATGAGATTTCGCTGTTTATTCCTTCATCTGCGTCATTTGCGCTCACTATGATGACCAACGTATCAAGAGGTGAGTTTTCAGGCAGACTGGCTTTATAGACAGGCTGACTAAACACTGGAGCGTTATCATTCGCATCCAGCACAGTGACGTGGATGACGACTGTGCCGGATCTCCGAGGCGAGCCGCCATCATATGCGGTCAACAAAAGCATGATGTCCTTTTTATCTTCTCTGTCTAATTCTTTGTCTAATACCAATTCACAATACTTTCGTCCACCTGATTTAGTGTTTACATGTAATTTAAATTGATCATTTTGCTGCAAAGCGTAGCTTTGAACAGCATTTTCTCCAATGTCTCCATCATGTGCTTCTCTAAGAAGAAAACGAGCACCCTTAACTGCTGATTCTCGAATTTCTAATTTGAGCTGGTCTTCATTAAACTGCGGTAAATTATCATTGATATCCTGAACACGGATATTAACACGATGTAGCTCTAGTGGGTTTTCCAGTACAAATTCCTGTTTTAAAACACACGATGCCTTTTTACCGCAAAGTCCCTCTCTGTCGATCCTTTCCCTAACAAGCAAGTCACCCGTGTTGAGGTTGATGGCGCAGTGTTGCACGTTGTCATCCTCGGGATCAATGCGTGCTTTGCGAGCAGATAACTGGCGCAAATCAAGTCCCAAATCCTTGGCAATATTTCCAATTACAGTTCCACGTTTCATCTCCTCTGGGATAGAGTAGCTCACGTCTCCATGGATTGTGTGGAGGAAAAAGAAAAGAAAAACGAAGCCGTCGCCAAACGGCGCAAATCTTTTCTTCTCCATTGCACCACAAATAATCATAGCAATCGTCATAAAACTGCAAACTACTCTTCCAAAAAATAAACAACCAATACGATTATGATCTTTTCGGTCGTCCCTCAGCTTCCAACACCAAAGTCCCGTTCACAAGCGGCGAGACAAGCTTCACAATAAAATCGGGCTTGTGTGTCGATAAACATGGGTGGGAAATTAAGAGCTTTTGTTCCTGAGTGCATACTGACATCTAGCGTACATTCTCCGTTAGTCCATCTAGTTGTAGCTGCATTAGAATTCAGAATTGGAATCCTGGAAGTTTATGGGTGGCGGATCTTTGATTAAAGCCCACTGGAGAAAATTGAAATATTTCAGCACCATGGACAGAGATAAAGTAGCGTCTCCTCAAATCAAAATGAGCGGATACTTTCGAAGCATGTTAGCTGACAAACGTATCTAAAATCCCCTCCAAACACATTGAAGCGTGTAGATATTTTTCGCTTTGTGTAAATAACAGAAAAATAAACAACTCAAATCCTCAGCACTATATTCAATTAAATGGTTAGATGTTTCATGAGACATGGAGATGACCAACTTCCAATATAATTCAGACATGTAAAAAAATATATTGGCCTTTAATTTCCACTCATTAGGTGAGAAATGTGACCCCAAAGGATATCGTCAATAAATGTAAATATTACATGCATGGTTCGAAAGCATTACAAATCATGTCTCTCATTAAAATAAACTACATGAAAAAAAATATGTACAGATATCTCAATCGATTCATTAACTTAAGCAGATGTTGGGCATGACCATGCATACAACCTTTATCTTAATTCTGCATCATAACACAATAAACGGTGGGTTAAATTGGACATATTTTAGTTGCAAGGTTCTGAAGTGGGATGCAAATTAGATTTGACGAGAGAGGGTTTGACTGTATGAGAAGAACAAAAACATCAAGAAGAGGAAGAATGGCTTTGATTAAAAAGAAACTAGGAATAGAAGCAAGCTTCTCTTCAAATACAAATTCAAATTATGTCACACTGAATATTTCATGTGAAATTAAATTACTTGCATATGTATCATGTATTACCACAATAATTACTTTGAAAAAATATTAAATGATTCAACTTGAAACGTATCTACCTCAAGTGGGTCGAATGAATCATGAAGCTCATCCACGAAGTCACTCGGACTTTTCCTCAGAGTCTGGTCAGCAGGCAGTGTGTTGTCATTGTAGGACGAAACAAACTTAAAGTCACTGGTTCTGGAACCTGTTGTCAAGTAGGCGTCATAGTTGTAGGTGCTGCGTAAAGTTCCTGTGCCGTCAACATCTGCGTAATTAGGAGGCAGATACGCGCCGGGGATGGCAACTGCTCCATCAAACAACAGTCTGGGTTTTCTCCTGCGACAAAACCTCACACCCAGGACGATGATGATGAAGGTCAGGAAGAAGGTGGACACGGACACCAGCGCGATGATCAGGTAAGAGGTCAGTTTGGAATTCTTGTCGTCATAAGAAATGTCCTTCAGCTCTGGCACCTCGGCCAAGTTATCCGAAATAAGTAAATACATGGAGCAGGTGGCAGAGAGAGGGGGCTGTCCGTTATCTTTCACGGCCACAATCAGGTTCTGTTTCATGCTGTCAGACTCCGAAATGTCCCGCTGGGACCTGATCTCGCCACTGTGGAGACCAATGGTGAAAAGTCCCGGGTCTGTGGACTTGACAATACGATAGGACAGCCAGGCATTCTGTCCCGAGTCGGCGTCCACCGCGATCACTTTGGACACCACAGAGCCTCCGTGTGCAGCTTTGGGGACCAGCTCAGTCATGAAGGAGTTGCCCTCCGGGGAAGGGTACAAAATCTGAGGAGAGTTGTCGTTCGTATCCGATATGAACACGTTGACGCTCACGTTGCTGCTCAGTGGAGGAGAACCGTTGTCTCGGGCCATGACGTGGACTTGAAAACTCCTCAAGTGTTCGTAGTCAAACGACCTGACAGCGTGGATCACCCCCGTGTCTCCATTAACAGACACAAAGGAGGACACAGAGGCACCGTTCACCTCAGAGGGTAACAGAGAATAAATCACGGTGCCGTTCTGTCTCCAGTCGGGGTCTTGAGCACTCACAGAGCACAAAGTGGATCCAGCTTTGTTATTTTCACTCACATATGCACTGTAGGACTGTTCCTCAAACACAGGTGGGTTGTCGTTGATGTCCGCTACAGACAAGTGAACACTTTTTGAAGAGGACAGAGGAGGAGAGCCCTCGTCAATGGCACTGATTGTAACGTTGTAATCAGACACAAGTTCACGGTCAAGTTGTCCAGTGGTCACCAGAGAATAATAATTTTTAATCGAAGGAACTAATTTAAAAGGGACGTTTTGATGAATGGAGCAGCGAACCTGTCCATTCTGCTCAGAGTCGCTGTCCTGTACGTTAACGATGCCCACTTCTGTTCCAGGTGGCACATTCTCTGGTATTGGATTAGACAGTGATTTCAGTTGTATAAATGGAGCGTTGTCATTGACGTCAATTATATGAATAATTACCCTTGCCTCCGAAAAGAGTCCATAACCGTCTTTTGCCTCAACAAACACTTCAAATTTGGATCCTTCTTCAAAATCAAGAGTTCCCATTATTTGCAGTTCACCAGTTTTGTGATCGAGGGAAAAGAGATTTTGAGATTTGTCAGAAAGGCGGCTGAACTCGTATGTAACTTCTCCATTTATTCCTTCATCAGCATCTGCTGCACTCACGGTGATAACTGGGGTTTTTAAGGCTGCGTCTTCCTTCACAGAGGTTGTATAAACAGTCTGGGTAAAAACTGGGGCGTTGTCATTAGCATCAAGTACGATGACATGAATGACTACAGTCCCAGATCTCTGAGGAGAACCACATCCAGTGCCGTTAGCAATAATTTCATTTCCTGCTGCTCTTCTCTGTCCAATTCCTTATCTAAAATTAGCTCGCCGTATTTACTGCCATCATTTGTCGTCTGAATGTGAAACACAAAATTGCCATTTTCTTGCAAAATGTAACTTTGAACAGAATTTGTACCTACATCTGGATCTTGTGCTGCATTAATGCGATATTTGGCTCCTTTATCAGCGGACTCACGTATTTCCAGCTTTATAATATCCTTTGGGAAAACGGGAGCATTATCATTCACATCCTGAACTTGCAAAGACAGCCGGTGCAATTCCAAAGGATTTTCCAGCAGCAGGTCGAATTTCAGAACACACGAAGGCTTTTCCCCGCAATGCTCCTCGCGGTCAATTCTGTCAGCAACCATTAAATCTCCCGTCCGGAGGTTTATGCCGCAATACTGTTTGTTGTTCTTTTCCATATCAACACGAGCTTTGCGAGTAGACAGTTTGCCCACCTCCAATCCGAGATCCTTGGCAATGTTTCCAATCACAGCTCCGCGTTTCAGCTCCTCTTGAACAGAATAGCTGAGGTCTCCGTGTGCATATTCGACCAGAACAAAGAAAAAGGCAAAACTCCGGAATCGGACGATGTGCCGTAAATGCGTCATTCTTTCACAGCAATGCAGACACGACAGCACTGTAGTTTTATCGATGAAAAGTTTAGATACCCCACACAAGCGGTTTTGTGTTTCTGCTCCGAGGTTATGTCGACAAAGCGCGTCGATGTTGTCAATTTCAGCAACGGATGATGAGCAAATCAGTCCAAGGCTCGAAAACCTGAGTATATACTGACCCCTTGTGTACAAATGCAATGAACGCTTTGAAAGGAGCCAATAAAAATCGCTTCCCGTTGAAAATGTATTTATATTTTTCTAATGTAAAAACGTTGTTCGAGGGAAGCAGATCAGCTATTTTCCCCTCTGTAAATTTGTTCCACATACTGCATGAAGGGATTCATAAACAATGTTTTCTAATTGAGACAGGCAGACTATTCACCAAAATTAACTTTGCACCATTTTCTCAGGGATGTACATTTCCTTATGGCAGTGTGTCAATTTTTGACTGACGTGGAAGAATCACAGTGAGTTTAACTGTGGCACTTTGGCCCAAATTGTCACTGGGACAGGCACAGACTGGCCTAAACCACATGGTTCATATGGTGCACAAAAAGAGCAGAGGACATGGTCAAATTGTGCTTTGATGATGTCACCATATCCGCACCTTGAGGCACAACGAAATCCAAATCCTATTTTGAGAATGACAACATAAAAAACAAAACGAAAGTTCTCAATGAAAGGCCAAGCGTACCAGAGCTGACATTTCAGTGATGTTATCACAGAAGTACGAATTACTGTGATCCTCTCTTTCAAGCAAACTGAAAGTGTCCTCAAATATCGCAACTCCTTGAACACAACATTGAATGAAACTCATCAGCACTCTTTAAGGAACGGAAGAAGCAAAGGACACAAATTGTTCTAGGAAAAACACAACAACATCCATGTCAAAAGGGCTGTCCTGACGGTTCAAACACGAGGATTTTTTTTTTTTAGTGTTTTCGTATGCTAGGACAACAACTTGTTGATGAAAGCCTCATAATCATGGGTAGGAGCAGTGTAGCAATGTAAAACAACATATGTCTGTCATCTAACATCTGTATACTCATAATACCCAAATGATACTACAATATCTGCGTCCCAAACCAAGTGCCATTTATGAATTACAATTCCCCTGGATGTACGTGAAGGTGTCATTCACTCAGCCAAAAAAAAGCAGTGTCGGTCACGTTCAGCATATTGATTGAGAGGTGAGTTTTGGATGAGATCCCGCCCAACTACTTCCTCTTTCATTCGAGCCAACAGCGTGAGTGAGGCGTGCAGTGGTCGGTAAAAGCAGAAACTTTTTGTGGGGTGAGTTACTGTCAGTGTTGAGCGTTCATAGTCCAAACGTGAACAGTGCACAGAATTTGGACATAAACCCCTGAGAATTTTTTTTTTCAACGCGATGAGTTATGCTATGAGACAAAGTGATGTAGTTGCTATTGCTATTATGAGGTTAAAAAGTTCTTAATGAGGAAGAAAACATTTACAAATGCCAAATGAAAGACAGGAATCATGTCTAAAGTGCTGTGAAAGAATTTCTTTCCGGTTGAGTTGATGAAGATGGAGAGGTTAATTTTTAGTGCATCTCGAAATCATAGCAGGAGGCCGACAATGTAAGAGGAGTATCGGAGCACGTCAGAATTTTAATCTCTTTCGTCAAACGTGGCTTCATGCAAATGAAATGTTTCTTGCTCGGTTTTGTTTGCACTTTATATCAGTTCAACTGTGATTAACTGCGTGTGATACTTTTGTGTAACGCCTGCTTTAGGAACAGTTACTCCTGAAATGAAGATTGTATTCATAGTTCAATGTGTTAATAAGCGCACTTTAAAGTTGACAGTTTTTTTACATTTGAATATCAAACATTGTACAACAAACTCAATAACAATTTGAACTGAATACTGTAGGCTTCAGACTTTTTTTTTTGTTTGTTTGCCACTGAACCCTTTCCTAATTTGTTATTTAACAGTGAGGAACCTTTTCTTTCAGTCATTCTTTTGTGGGGAAAATCTGAGTATCAATCCATGAAGCCATATCATTGCAAATGGTCAGCTAAACCAAGATCCTTGGAAACATTGGTTGTGGCAGGATGAAGAATCACACACATCCTTCTGAATGAACTCATGCAGAAAAGTGCATTTGCTCAAAACAATTCCTTTTGAAATTTTATGTGCAGTATAATTTGGATTGAGTCATGTACTGGAAACACAGTTTGCTCTTTTCCTATGTTTTAGTGCAGTGGTAATGTTCAAAATGTTGAAGTCATTGTGGCTTATATAGTCAGTATTATTATATTTTAAACAAAACCTCATCTTCTCAAATGAACATTCAGACTGTACTGTACTTCAATGTTCATCAAGGTCCTGCTTGGAGAACTAGATGTTTTTTTAGGTGGAACTTGGTGTAAAAACTGTGAGAACTTTGGAGCTACAAGTCTCAAAGTGACAGGCTGATTTTGTTTTTCTGACAACTTAGTTTTCTTCCTGCTAAAATAATATGAGCGA